GGGGGCCGAGGGCAGGGCTCGCCCTCGGAATCCGGCTTCGAAGCCGGCGCCACCTTGTGCCGGCCGCCTGACCTGAGGCAACTCTGTGCTTTCAACTCTCTGAACTTCGGTTTCCTCATCTGCCAGTTGGCAGACGCTCAGCGAATCTTCCTAGACTCACGGGGCGAATTGTACAGTTGGGTAAATCGAGGCCCAGAGATGGGAAAAGGACCGTCCAAGGTCGTACAGCCACCCGGAATTACAGTTCCTTTCTGCCGGGTCACACGCTGCCTTCCACGTGTTACCTAAGAGAGCTTTCCAGCCTGTGCTGAGAAAACTGCCCCACATCGTCTGCAGCGGGACTGGGGCGCTGGAGCGCTGGGCAGGCCACTCTGCTTCTGGCCACAGTTTTCTCATCTCTAAAAAGGCGCAGTAACAATATAATGACCGTGTGGAGTCCCCCAGGATACAGGGTCAAAGGAGAGCACAACCATCGCAGTTTCAAGCCCATGGGGCAGGTGAGTCACTATTGTCACTACTGGGGTCACTGTTGAAGCCGCTAAGGTCACTGTTGAAGTCAGGTGAGAGGGCCCTCTTGGAGTCAGACCACCTGGGTTCAAATTCTGGCTCCTGCTTCCGGCTCCATTCCTCTGACCCCCCCGTGGGACCCGAACCCGGACCCCTTCCACGGTCACCACCGTCACGCTCCCACCTTTCAAGGTTTCAAACACCCCTCCCCTGTTTCTGGCAGGGGCTGTCCTCACTCCCTCTATGGCCTCTCCAGGCCCAGACTTCACCCTCAGGTCACCCTCACCCCTCGGTGCCCTCCAACCAGTGGGCCTGGGAAGACGTGTTCATGCTGGAAATGCCTGCCCAGCCCTTGCCCAGTTATACAGAGCAAGTGCTCCAGAAATATCCTGAGCCCCAGTTTACTAAGGGGAAACTAAGAACCTTCCGGCTACAGCTCTTGGGCTGAGCAGGGATCAGGCTCAGGTCTGGGATCCCAGGCCCTGCAGCCTCCCAGAGGCTTGGTTGAAAGCCCTGGCTCTCACTCCCCCACCTCCACCCAACACCTGCTCGGTCCAGGCTCACCCCCCACCCCTCCACCTGGTCAGTGGTGGCTTGGCCTCCTCTCAGCCCCTCCATCCCTCTTGGCTGTACACACCCTCAAGCTAATGGAACTCAAACTGGTGGAGGAAGGCCTGCCCTGTCCCTCCCAGGCCCTGCGTCTCGCTCCCTGTCCCCAGCCTCACTGGACCACTTTCAAGTCCTCCAGTGCTGCAGGCTCCCTCTTCATGCCTCCAGGCCTTTGCACGTGCTGGTTCCTCTCCCATTTTCCTGGTTAACTCCTCCACCTCCATCCGAGCTAGGCTTTTCCCCTGGAGAGTGTCCCAGTTAGCATCACCCCACAACACACACACACACCATCATACACTCTCCACATCACAGGGACCACATCCCACACAGGCACGGTCACACTGCATGACACAGATCACAGGCACAAAAGTGCATGCTCTAGCGTGCATGCATGCACACACAGACACACACTCATACTCCATATGCTGATACACTTATCCCCCCACCACAACATCACACAGACCATTCAACACACTCCTCACGTCCTCTGGCCACACAGTAAATACACACATACCACAGAGCTCATGTCTGGGCTGGCCTGGTGCCCTCCTCTGGGCTTCTGCCCCCAGCCTTGGCATTTTACCCCCCATTAAGGGCAGGGACCAATCCATCTCCATTTTCCTCCATTTCAGCTCAGGGCCCTGCACCAAGTCTCTCCCAGTTATTGCTTGGAGCTGGACCCCTCCCACAGTCACCACTGTCACAGTCCCACCTTCTTCAAGGTCTCAAACACCCCTCCCCTGTTTCTGGCAGAAGCCGTCCTCACTCCCTCTATTGCCTCTCCAGGCCCAGACTTCCACCCTCAGGTCACCCTCACCTGGGCTTTGGGGTGCCACATACCCTGCCCCAGGCCCTGGCCTCTGGAATGGCTGGTGACTGGAACTGGGCCAGAGGGTTAAGCTCATGTCTGTCTGGAGCCTCAACTTTCTTCTCTGTAAAATGGGCTAACACTGAAAGCACCTTGCAGAATCTCAGCAGCGTCACAGTCGACATTGTTAGCGCGGCCAGCAGACTCCTGCTGGGCTGAGTTTGTGGGTAACCCAAGTCTGAGCAGGTACAGTTCCTCCCTCAGGTGAGTGTTCCGCCCCCAAGTGAGCATCCTGCTGCCCTTCCAGGCCCCTGGGACACTTAGTGCCGAGCCTTGGGGGTGGGGTATTTGGTCTGGGTTCCTGACAAGTGGCTGGGTTGTCTGTTCCCTCTCTTCAGGGGGAGCCTCCATGGGTGGCCTGGGCTCACATCGGCTCCTCCAGTCCAGCAGAGCACCCCCCCTGGCTGCCCAGCCTGTTAAGGGAACTTGCTGAGCAGGACATTGAGCCCCTCCTGGTGGGTGACCAGAATCAGGAGAAGACAGAGGGGAGGTGGCAGGCCCCGGGATGGAGGGAGGGCAGCTGAGCTGTCTGCCCTCATCCTCCCTGCCCTTTGGGTGTTAGAACCCTTCCCATGGCCCAGCAGGAACCCAGCGGCTCACCTGAGCCCAGACTAAAGATGAGGCACTTTACCGCATATGCAGAGATGAGAAACAGAGGCCCGAGGAGGGAAGGGACTGGACACGGTGGAACAGCCACGGGCTGTGCCTGTGTTTCCATCCGCCTTCCTCCTGCCTGTGCTCGAGTCACGTGCTGGTGTGCAGGGAACAGGAAGACAGCCGCTGCCCTCACAGGCTCAGGGTCTAGCAGAGTCCACAGTGACCACAGGCGAATAAACAAAGGCAGTGAGACAGAGGTGGGCAAGGAGAGGTGCTGGGATGGGGAGCAAGGGAGTACCCATGCTCATGGGTATAAACACATGGACCCATATGCATGACCCAGAGTTTCTTCCAGAACTTTTTTTTTTTTTTTCCCCCAAGACGGAGTCTTGTTCTATAGCCCAGGCTGGAGCACAATGGCGCGACCTCGGCTCACAGCAACCTCCACCTCCTGGGTTCAAGCAATTCTCCTGCTTCAGTCTCCCGAGTAGCTGGGATTACAGGCACATACCACCACGCCTGGCTAATTTTTGTATTTTTAGTAGAGACGGGGTTTC